TATATAAGCATATTACCTTTAAGCTAATTTTATTTAACCAAAATTTAAAAAAATTAACAGACTAGACACTACCAACGATGATTTTATTTAGCGTTTTTTTTACTTTTACTTAAAATAAACCTTAACATAACCCAATAAGGTTTAAATGCGTGGGCTTACGGCACTTCCATTGTTTTTTCTTCCGTGGCTTCAACTATGTGTATTTTGTATTAAAGTGATTCAAGTTATTATAATTCTCGATCATAGTTTAGTTTAGTTTCTTTCCCTCAACGTTACAAATTTCATACAAATACAATTACATGTCATTTTATACTACTCTCCGAAAAGTAAACGTCAATTTACAAAATAATGAAGAAATAATTATATAACAGTAAGTCATAAAGTACGCAATAGTGTACATATACAAAATCAACATAATTAAACTAATAAATAATTGAATTAAACTAACAATGTCAAGTGTATACAGGAAATGTCAATATAAATGTATATTACAGTATAATAATACGGTGAATGTCAAATTCATTAAGAAATATAATAATTTAATTATTTATTAAGTACTTTGAGTATACTCTGTTTCTAAGTAAAGGGACTTTTCCAATAAAAGTTTCTTCAGTCTGCACCTGAACGTTTCCTCACAACATTCGTTTGACAGGTAGGTGGTCATAGTAGGTCGGTCCTATAATACTTTGCGACGCGGTACAGATCGGAGTTGTCCCGCACGACCGAGGCACCCACCCATCACCTCCACTCGCCCAAACTGTGCTAAGTGTGTCCGCGTGAACTTAGTGACCTCAAAAACATATTGCGAGCAGTGGGTCATTATTCGGCGTACATGTCTATCTACCTATTATAACCCTACCTCCCATCTACTATATAACCTTTTATAAGGGTCTGAAAAGACAAATAAAAGCAGCTGTCACGTGTTGGTATGGAACAAATTGATCGACGAACACGTCCCCTAAAATCAAATTCCATTCTGCCTATCTTTAGGTGACATTGTATAGTGATACAAGGGTCTGCAACGTCCGTTCATACTACTTTAAAAAAAAGACATTATTAAGATCGACAAACATGTAATTTATCGTGGTTTACTTAAGTACCAGTTATTAAATATGGAATTCCTTATTCCTAGCAAATAACATTACGTTCCATAGCATTTACATACATTCGTATTATTTATGTGACTGATAGTTATTCTAGTGTTACTAGTGCCAAATTGAATTCCTTATCTTTTTTGCAGGTCCAGTGGCATCTGCGTTGCTGACTGTTCTTTGTTCTGTGGTCGTCTTCAGTAATGTTATAATGAGGTTGGTATACTTAAAGTATTTGTATCAAACTATTCCTCGAGGCCAATTTCAATGAGCCCAAATACGTTTGTTGTACAGTAAATGAATGAACGAATGAACGAATGATATTTATTTGCTTAAAATATGGTTTACAGAAGGTGGTACAAGTATACGTAATAAAACAATGCTCATATTTTACCGATATCGGCATCCAAATTTATGGATGTCAACATTTTGGCAGCTAAACAATCCTAAAGCAATTCCTATTAAGTAAGATTAACATATTATAATAGTAAGTTATTGGCATGCCACGGAGATGTCAAAAAATATAAAACAATATAATATACTTACATTCTTTGTCAAATAAGTGGTAAAATTTATTGAGATGTATGTAAAGAATGACTTCTTTACATATAAGTCTCGGTTTTTAATTGTATAGAAATTTTTAACTCACAGGCATGACATCAGTTTACGTTTAAATAGAAGATTATTATTTATCATTTTTAAATCAGAGGGTAACGCATTATATATACTCATACACACCCCGCGTAGTGTCTGGTAGTTAGTTTGGCATAACTATTACAAACTAATCTGTGTGGGCCCCTTACATTTATATTGTGAATGTCTCGTGTCTTTCTAAAAAGTTTATTATTATTATTTACAAAATTGAATACTTCAAAGATATGCAAGCACGCGACTGCATCGATACAAACGCAAGATTGCATCGCTACACTTGGGATATAGAGGTTCTATATAATCGCCTAATCTACCTACCTAATCGCCTATAAATCTCAAGTGTAGCGCACGTTTGCGATTTAAATAACGGTGTACACGATTCTCTGGGTCCTAAACCACATATGGCCCGTACGTGTTTTTATATGCTGCAAATAACACAGGCTTCAAACTTCTTGCGCCGGGGGTTATAAATAAAGGTCAATGTACCTCAAATCATGTAATAAAAATCTAGTTACACATTTCTTACTACGGTGAGATTATTTACTTTTTGTACCTATTTTAATTTAAAACTGTTTATTGATTTTTCCCAGTCAATTCATGACTAATATATCGGGTGAAAAATAAAGTAACACCGTGATTAGCAACCTGTAACTAGAGATTCGTTTAGCGAATAACCACGAACGTCTTAAACTCTTAATTCTCTCTAGTTGAAAGTAACTGATTAATGTATAAAAGCATCTAAAATGCTGTTTAATGTTTCAGACAAATCCTCCGATGATGGCGGGCCGCGGCAGACGCTGTCTACGTAGATTAACTATTGTAAATAAATTTTAAAATAAAAAGTAAGTTTGGTCTGATTTAATCAAATACACTTACGTTTTTTTATTGTACTTTATACTTGCAAACTATTGGACAGTCCAAATGATGGAAAATATCATCTCTTTTAACACTGCTGACATCTGCGTCTCGAATACTTCCAGGGGTTGGCATGGTATCACAATATTTTCCCTACAGTAGCGCAACGCCTTTGATGTTCGGCGACACCACCTCTCGTGTAAGTACTGGCGCCGCAGATAATATGCAAAGGTTGTCACAAAATGGGAAAAAATATGATTATTGTCATAACGTAATTCAACATTTATTGATAATAACTATTACTTATCAAGATACAATAATCATTAAATATTACTAATCTGGTAATAAACTAGTGTCACTTTATTTTTACACTTGTTTCAGTTTTTTGTTATAAAATCTAACTATAAAGTGCATTAGTATTTGAATGAACAATTGAATCATAAAATAATATGGGAAACACGAGGATGGCCGCGATTTAAATTGTACTTAGTAAGTTAATCTGAAGGCCGGTATCGTGTCGTTTAGGGAGGTCAAAGAGCTGGCTTGTAGGAGAGAGGACTAGAAGAGGCTCCTCCGACAAGAGACTCTTAAGTTTGATGATAATTATGAAGTCAAATAATTTATTTAAAACATTGTTTCCAATTAACGAACATAAACTCTGCCTAAAATAGTCTTCTAGCTCATTACAGTATTTAACATAACATTTTATGTGTGCCATTATATATACGTACAACATTACATATGATTTTCGTATAACTCGCACTCGCCAACCCTTATCACTCGATCCGGCAAACTAAGCGTGTGCGGCAAAGTAGCATTAGAAATTCGTAAAATCTGCCGAGTCAGTCTGCAGCTCATTGGTTACGAGCAGTGGCTCCGGCATGACAACAGACATTAATTCCACTGCTGTGTCAAACAAATACACTGTAAAGTCACTTACAGTGTTTGGATTTAATAGCGCTTATATGATTTCTCTAGGCCTAATCTATACCCTGACATGTATGCAGCAATCGTTAAATGCATACAGTGTTGCGCTGAGTGAGCGAAAACACTCAGATCGCGCAATGTCTCAGGAGCGGGGGTCTACTAACAGTTGTCACGGCTCAAATTTTAACAATAGAAAACGACATTCTATCGTGTCAAACTAAAACACTGCAGGGTTCAATACAGTGTTTTGAAATTTCATAACAAGAATCTTTCGGCTTTTAACGAGATTCTTTATTCGTTTTTCAATAGAACGTACTTTCCAAAGTAAAATTATAATGGCTAGATAGATTTCTTTAATATATAATATGCAACGTAAGTTAAATGTGTCTTTTTATGTTATTAACCTGAAAAATTACAAAACACCGAAAAATCCCAAAAGCAGCTTTTTCTCAAAATGCTGTTATTGATATTACAGTGTTTTGGTTTGACATGGTAGGCCAGTCCAGTAAGATTGAAGGATTTTTTCTTTATGCATCAATAATTGAAACGAACTTGTGAAGTAAGTATTTTCACAAGACACATATGAAAATCATGGAAGTAAAAGATCGTAATATTCAATAAACAAATATTACACAATTCTATTCAATATTTCTTGTTCCTTGTTGTTATGTACATCATTAATTTTTTGTCAAAATTGTTGGTTACAAGGGTAAGCGAAGTTCTGTAATAATTATATGAATCTCTTTGTACGAGATATGGCTAATCGCATGAAAGCGTAGACTACAATCATTGACTTACAAATAAATGGACGACGGGTCTAATACAAAAACCACGAAAAAAATGTCCCAAGTCAACCTATTTAAACTTAGTGACATGTAAAGGAATATGAAAAAGCTAAAACGTTGAATTTAAATTGTAATGTCGTCTCAGTACTGTCTAATTTTGCTTGCTTCGCTGTCAGTCGAACAAACGAAGACTAAAGCGTGAATGACGCTCTGTATACGATTTTAACGCCCTATAAGTTCGGACACTTTTTAGCGCGGACCCGACGTCCATATAATTGTAAGTCAATGACTACAATACACATTCTTGGTTAATAAGGCCATATCTGCAAAATGACAAGTTTTCGGGATAAATTTAACGATTCTTCACACGAAATTAGTCGACAAATTTTACATACAATTTCACATGGTTTTTTAACTAATTCACGCTCCAATAGTAACTCGAGAGGACTGCCAATCTCTATATACAGATCGTCGTGCTTGCGATGGCGCTTGTCAATAGTCTGGAAGTAGTTTATGTTACGTAAATGGCAGTGGATATCAAATAATTTCTCTTGAATATGAAATTTAAGCCGTCAGTTTTTTTTCTTGTTATTTTAATATTGATCATGAGTTAAAACACGCACTTAAGTACGAGAGTTATCTGTTGGTATAAGAGGTTGGAGTACTGCTAATCGCGGTACAAGACGGGTCAGGTAATTAGTGCCTATTGGTACGTCATTTGTCACGATGAGTACCAAATAGATATTTTGTTCCTTATTTGTAAATAATTGACGAAACGAAATTTATCAAAGCTACTCTTATTTCTAGTGGTAACAAACAAATCAACTAGATGGCGCTTACTGCATTGATTTTTATGTATACTACTGGCTGTTTATTTCATTTAGTTTAGATTTAGCGACATCTACTACTAGCAAACGTAATTTATAAATTAGTTTGTAACACGCAATGCCATCTCGTTGGTCCAGATGAATAGGGTATTATATCAACAGATTCTTCAGGAGAGCAAAGTTTCTTCTAGCATTATTCCAGCCGCTATTGTTATTTGGTTCTCCCACTTATATGTATTTAAAGCCTACACATTTAACAGTATTTTCAAATACTTCATATTCTTATTCAGTTCCGTAGTTTTGACAAAATCCCGAAATTTTTGAGAGACGTCTGTAATATTACTTATAAAATATTTATGATTCAGAGTTTTAACTAAACTATAAAAGCTTAATACTTTTAAATTAAAGAAGGAATAATATTCAATTCGATATAACTTTGAAGAACATAGTAGTATCTCGAAGAATTACTTTATACTATATATTACCATAACAATTCAATGAAAAAATACCCCAAAAAGGTATTACCTTGAAATAATCGTCTTCGTTTTAGAAATAAATATTTTTAAATACACTTACCGAACATATGTTTTGGTTTTAATACCCTGTTCAACGATGACGTCTTGACAACTACAGCTTCGTGTGTAATACTGAATACGACTGTGTTGTTTAATGTTTAGGGCTAAAATGTGCAAAAAGTTCAAAGATACTCCCGCGCCATTTCACGTCCGGTCGTTAAAAGATCTTGTTGTTTAGAAATATCTCGATTTTTTTAATACGACTGCATTTCGAATAAAAAGTAAAAATTTGTGAATAGATACCCTGGGGCCTTACCAGGAACTCTTAATACGATTCATCTTAGGACCCATAATGAATTGTAGTGAGACAGCGCTATATCACCATCCCGCTTTTTTGTCATTACGAACCTATACTGGACTGTAATAAAAGTTCATGGTAAGGCCCCTGTTCATCCATGGCAACGACTATTGACACGCATACTTGTCAAAATTCAGTAAATAATTTTAGCTCATGGTTTATTAATACTTGCTTGTTATAACAAGCAAAAAAAACTGACTGCTTATATCGAGTTCTTGGGTTTTCGCGATTGTTACACATAGGAAATGAAAATTTTTTTTCCGGATTTAAATCGCGTATATTTGTTTTTTCACGATTTAAATCCGGAAAAATAGAAACATCTAATTATAAAACAAACGGAATCACATTTCATCGGTAATTAAATATGAAATATGTAATTTTGCAATTCTCGTCTATTATAGCAAAGCTCAAGTTAAACTGGCCGATTTGAAGTGAAACAATTGACGAAACCCGTCAATTTTTTCTAATTCGGGCTTGCCAATCGGAGCGCAGTTGGCAGAATAATTTTCAAACAAATTAAATGACATTTCGTCTTTATTTCTGGTTATGGCTTTTTTAATTGGTTCTGATCTGAATATTTTGGGTAGTGCCCCGGAGTGAATTCCCTAGTTCCGCGTAATTGATGTAGTTGTCTGACAATTAACACGTACTTACTCTGCTGGCTCAGCGATCCGAAGTGGGTCTTGGCCTCCAATATGAGGTGGCGCCAGCGCGCCCTGTCTTGTGCGATCTCCTCCCTAGTTCTCTGCCCCTACAAAGTGATGTTAAGAATGTATCCTTAATGTTGCAAGTGTATTGCCAGCCGTGAAGCGTAAGTCTCATTGTTATTTGCATTGGTTTAGTCTACTATTTACTCTGTCAGTAATGCTGCTTCAAACAAGTACGGTGGTAATTTAGTACACTACCCGTTCGGATTCTGCACAAACAGAGAAATCTCCCAACGTTTAACCCATCTCAAGACTCGTGACTAGCTAATGAGCGCATTTAATGGAGAACGAAACTTCGATTCAGTTCTGAAGCTAAAAAAAGCTTTGAAATCCTTGAATAGAAAACGTAAAATCGTATCAGTTTAAAATAATAATTATTTATGTGAAGCCATGCAAAGAAATATTTCATATTGTTTAGAATAAGTAAACAAATTTATCTCACAATGAAATAAATTTGTTTTACGAAGGAAATTGAGTCAAGTTCTAACAGAGAAATTACAATAAAAAAAACTATTTCAGGTTTTTTTTTCTAACTATACCTACTTTAGTATAAATTTGTTTTTTCACAAAGTATAGTTAACTTAAAAGGTTACCTAAAGTTTTTGTACGGTTATAACAGTTCGAAAAGACGTCTTATTTTTATGTTGGACGGCCTCAGTCGTAGGCGCTGGATGAGGAGGTCCCGGTAGGACTATTTGGGAAATGTAGGTACTTGTCTATATTGGTTTTGGTCTGGGTGTTCTGGGACACTTCCCACCAGTACCTACAGTACACAATAGTATGAGAGCAATAGAATTTACTATGGGGCACTCCCTAGAGCGAAT